GGTTTGCTAAGCACTCAAGAAGCTAGGGTTGCACGAGGCGAAAGCCGAGTGCGACTCTTACGCTTCTTTCGTGCTTAGCAACCTCCCGCGTGCATCCATAACTGAATAGTGCACGGTATGGCGTTTACCATTTGTTAACTCGCTTTAAGGTCATTCCCCAGTATTGCATTGGGCATCCCTACTGCGCATAATTTCACGCGTGATTAGCGCGCGCGCATTAAAAAGTGGCGGCTTTTTCTTTGCGGCTGGACCTCGCCATAGAGGTAAATCGTCATTTTCTCGCAAAAGAGTATGGTGACCTACCATTTTTTTCTGCTGTTTTGAATTGAGTAATAAATTTTTCTGTGTAAAATAAATAAGGACCAATTCTTAGTGTAGAACAAAAAACAATCGTCGGAAACGTGAATTTAGCAAGCAATCGTAACTACAATCATGGTGCTGTTATAAGGATTTATATGGGTATAAACAAGGTGCTTTTGCTCCTAAACAAACATGAGGACCCCTCATTTTTATGTCAAAATTTAAGTTTCTATAATATAAACAATCGATAGGCAAAGTTTCACAAAAATCTCAGTGCAGGTTCTATTTCAGCGGAATGACCTTAAGTTATAGATGTTGTTACTGACTGAACGAGAAAAGAATAAAAAATAAGTTTGAGATTCAAAATCAGCTCTACGGAAGGAATATTAGCAAAATAACTCAGTTAAGGAATCAGCGTCAAGTCGACATTACTCGCCGTTCTTATTTCCTGACACTCACTCATTTACTCATACAGTCAGCCGAATATATATAGTTTGTACAAGCGTGCAACTCCTTCAACATTTTTGTTGCTAACGTCGTCGAGTTTAGTTCCCTGGCTTTTTCACCGGGCTCGTCTAGTAAGGAGACTTGACTCCAACGCGAAGTTGATGTCACTGAATAATTTTACAAGCCCAGGCTCCGCGTCAGCAGCCCATAAAACAGAGACGCCAGAATATTACACTTTATTATCCAACTACAGCGAATACCATCCAAATAACAGTGCAAATATACAGCGATATTGCAGAGTTATTGTACAGTAGAAAACCTGTTTGCCGGACAGGACGGCGCGCGCACACAAAACTGTCACACTCTCCCTCTTTCATTGATAAATTTATTGACTACAGCAGTTGAATAATAAATCTCTTAATAGATGTTTTGGTGTGTAGTATCGCTTTATATTTTCACTCGTTGTTTGCCTATCGATTGTTTAGATATGTATAATAATTTATATTTACACTGAATGCAATCTCAAAGCCTCATAAAGAGACCAACATATAGTTGGAAAGACACGTTTCTCACGGGTGGCTTGTCGAGTAGCTTGACAGAATTTATGCTTGATTTTGCTAGTTCTATAGATACACTGCATAACCTGATGAACCCGACCTAGTGTTTTACAGGCGAGTAACTCTACGCGGCAGCGCGCACAGGCCGCGACTCTAAGCGTCTCAATTTTGTGTGTAGTGAAGAAAAGAAAATCGCTCTCGCCACACAAATGCTCGTAAAAGGTTGTGAGTTTTGGTGAGTAATAACTTCGAATCTATGATAAGCGAGACTCTTATACTAGCGCTGTCATCTGAAGATAGAGAGAGATTATTTTTGGGACTCTATCGCTGTATAAGCCCATCAGGGTAGTATGAGGTTGTTTTAGGACCTTTGCAGCTTTTTAACATCGACAGGAATGGGTTATTAATAAATTAGCAAATGTATAGCGTGTCTTTTGGAACGAGTTTTACACTACGGTTACGATTTTTTGTATTTTCAAGGAAAACGAATGCATTTTCTGGACTGAGGTTGATTTCCATAGTAGCGATGACAAGGGATCACATGTTCGCAAGCAGTCTTTTGATATCGCTGGTTTCTGGCCTGTCGATGCACGACAAGGTTGATGTATCTTCAAGAGAATAGCAATGCTTCCTTATTTTTGGCTTTAAAATACCTAAAAGTAGTGGACTACTTTCCTACTAAAACAATTAGACTACCTGCTCTAGTTCACTATTCGCTTATAAAACATTCGGGTCCGTTGTCTCTGTGAAAAAATCGAGTCAAATTGGAAAGTCTACATCCATTCTGAGCGGCAAGTAAGATTATTTTCGTTATGATTCTAGATAAATTCTTGTTGATTAATTTTGCTTATTTACATCAAGTGATGAGTTTCCTCGGTATCGGCTGGTTAAAGGTGGTTTTCACCCGCGCAAAAGCATAAAGTGACACACGCACTCTGTCCACACTACGCCGGATAAATTTGAAAACGCATCTTTTTCCTACGGTTAGACCTACCGTCCATACAAATTCGTCACGAAAACGAAGCTTTTCGAACACGCTGTTGAAATCGGAGGAATTCAAAAAGGCCGGTCTGGCCACAAAACACTTTGAAAACGGAGCTTTTCGAAAATGATGGCGTTACGATTATCATGTGATTTCCTTGCTAGAGTCTTCCACAAACACACTATATCCGAAATGACTGGCGATTGTCGCGCTTTCAAAGTTCTCCGGTGTAGTGTGGACGGAGGATATTCGATGCGTTTTCAAACTTCTCCGGCACAGTGTGTACGGGGCCTCGGTAAGACTAACAACTGACTCGCAAATAACTAACGTCTGTCGTTAGGACCATTTCCTAACAAAGTGCGCTACTTAGCAGCTCCTTAGTGCTTCTGTGTATGTTGCTATGCTTCCGCATTGGTGGAAACCAACCTTAATTCGTCGCTGCTTTAAAACAGTACCACCATACCATGCTCCACCTGAAATTTTCTTTCATATTAACGGTGTAAAATCTTCATTTGGCTAAGCCAATAGGATAAATATTTTAATCCCTTTTGTATTTTTATTCCTGATTTTCATTGTTTCATTGTAAATATATTTTTTGGCTTTTAACAATAGCTTTCTTATCTGTAATTATTCATGTAATTCATGTTGCGTTGGTGTAAAATTTTTAAGGTGGCTGAAAAAAATATTGAACTTCAACAAAGGAAATTTTGGATATTCCAGTGAACCTTCAACAAGGGATAAATAAAGATATCTTTCTTAAATTATTATCAAAATGGTGTTAACTTGTGAGCATCGTTACAAGCTTGTTGCACGCAAATTATAAAGAAAATCTAATGACTGGACTTCCTGCAAATAAACAAAACCGATTTTAAAGGCGTGTTTATTCATGGCAACGGCACATACGTCAGCTTAACTATCAAAAAACCAAAGTTTGTGTTGTTAACTTGATTGCTGCCATTTTTGGCGACCAAAGGATCGAGGGTTTTAGAGAAAAAGGTGAATGAAACACGGGTATCAAAAACTGTGTTCAGCCACGTCAACAGGCTAAGCCTAACGGATTGTTTTTATTGAGCTTTTGTATTTTAATTTTTGATTTTCATTGGTGTTTTTGTTAACATTTTTTTTTAGTTTTCAGTTATGTAATAAAACTTTTAGCCCTTCTTTTATGCAATTAGTTATTGTATGGTTTCAGTTCTTTATTTCATTTCATCAGGACGTCTGTTGATATTAGGTGCAAATGGGGACTGACGCAAAACAGGATAATAACGGCAACGAGAACGTCGCCAAACAAAAAGCTTGATGAGCAAAACAATGGATCTACACGTGTATTATGTATATTGAACATTTCGTGGTTTCTTTGCTAATCAACAACGTGAAATGACCAATTTCCAAGCTTTTTGGAGAATGTGAACCACTACGGCTAATTTTTCGTATTTCTACTTGAAACCATACTATGTTGAAACTGAACGCATTCGTCCCATATTGAACTGGGCAAGTTTTCATACAGACGATACGCTGAATAAATTTAGCTAACCGCGAAATTCTGAAGTAAAATATAAATACATTTTCTAAAAGGCGCCGTCCTGGGCTCGCCGTTGCCGTCGTTTATGGGTAAGGTTCCTATAGCTTCTGAAAGGTGTCTACCTATCTTTTTCCTAAAGAGGCAAGTCACATCGCCATGTTCGAACGATCCCTTATACTACTTTCTGTATTTACCAATTTCGACGGGGTGTGTGTGTGTGGGGNGGGGGGGGGAAGTGAATGCATAGGAATTCAACACAGACTCCCTGTCCCGGAAAGATATCATTTGTAAGTCTGAGGCTAGGGAAAGCCTACGATCAAGTTTAGCTGGGTATTTTTAATACTCCCAAGACAAAGGCACAGAGCTTTGACTCTGCCACCCCCTCACCTACCGGTACCTCCGTTTCCTATACGAAGATAGCAGCTCCCTCAGCACGGTTTTTTACGAAATGTAAAATATTTAGTCATAAGGTGTATGTTGATGTTCAATATTTTACCCTAGTTATTATTTGGTATTTTCTTTTCATTCATATACAGTGAATACATGTGATTGAATTAGGTTTGTCGACAAACATACGTAAACTATAAGTAACGTAGCTGTTTGCAATCTAAGAAACAGTGTTTATGCGTTAACGTGCTACGAGATCAACACTAAGCTGTGACATTAAACGCTATTAGGGAAGATCTTTACTAATGATACTTTTTATCATTATATGGCTGAACTGGTTAGCGATGAAAAGGCGAACTCTGATTGGTTCGCTTAGCCGTCCGAGGTTTGCAATGCGGACCACTCGTGAATTAATTTCGCCTAATTGCTTTTTCATGTCGTTGCACAAATACGACAGTTTTTTGTTAAGTAGAAATCTTTTTACCTTCATGTTTGGAGGACAATTTAAGTTAAATGTTTACAAAAGGAAAGTGAGAAACGTAAATAAATGTTCAACTTTCGCCCGCGCGTTCACCGAGGATGCATCGCGGAGCCGCATCAATTTGTCACTAGATTAAAAAAAGCCATTAAAATAAATACTTAATGGAACTAGCTTGTTCGGTCCATATTGGAGAATATTGGCCTCGTTCATTTTTTGCAGATCTATGGAGCTTGCGGCTCGGTCCATAAACCTGCAAATAAAGAACTCGACCAAAGTTTCTCCAGCACGGACCTCACACTAAATATTTGTAGATGCCTTTATCCACTCCCCACATAATTCTATAAGGTCGTATCGTTTGTGGTTTTTGCTCTTTTTCGGACAACTTTTTATTTCCACCGGATAAATCACCATCCAGCGGATAGCGTGGTTTATTTTGTTAACACTTATCGACTGGACAGCGTTTTATCCGGTGTAAAGCGTCATCCAGCCTTCCAACATCTGAGGCCCGGCCCGTCACGCTGTATTGTAAAATTCCCTGCCAAAGTCTGCGTTAGTTTGACGAAACATGCAGGAAAACGTTAAAGAAAACCTCCAGGGAGGCAATTATTGGCAATGACGACACTTATGCAAAAAGAGTTGCTCTTTGGACGGATTAAATTGAATGAGGAGCAGCTTAACAAACAGGTGCATGTTTAATGAGTTGACTTTGAAATTAATGACTGTTTTTGTGTTCTTTTGTATCGAACAACCAATTTAGCTGATGTTTAAGCTACGAACAGTTCTTCTCCTTCATTAATTCATCATGCAAGCATAAACAAACGCCCCACGAACACTCGGCGGGTATTTCTTCACTCGCTCTTTTTTATCTCTCGTTCTATGAACGAAGAATATTCAGTGAAATTTACTATTCCCAGCAAAAGAACAGAACAACAGTCACCTCGTACTAACCGATTCAGGCCATTCAAGAGACGTGATTGTATTATTCAATCTTCGCTTTGTAGCGAAAATAATGAAGAATTCATCCCCAGTTTACCATAGCAGCGCCAAACACAATGCCGCTAAAGGAACAAAATTGTCCAAGCCGTGTAGTCAAAACTACCAGTTCTCTCACGGAAGTACGGCGTTCTAACAGGCGTGCAAGGTAGAGAGACGTAAGGGAACTTCGCCTAGGCTTCAGCAAATGTAAAGGCACTAAACTTCGACACTGTTATTTCTTTTAATACGTGCGAGAGTTAAATGGACGTTTTACCCATAAAATATGCTACGCTGGGATCTCATTTGAGCATACTTTCGGTAGCAACCTGCTCCTAGGCACCAGAATAAAACGGGACGTTTTTGATCGGAAAAGAGGGCACGCAATCGAAACTCAGAGAATTTCCTTTGCTTGTCCCACTCTAAAAGGGCTAGCAAGCTCTCCCGATTCCTAGTGCAACGACAGAGTTAACGAAAAAATTATTTTACACCTTGTCTTCGCGTCTGACAGGTCATTAGAATAAAAAAGGAAGGTGCATTGTAATTAAATTGGCATATATTAGGACGGAGCTTGAAGGAAGCAGTGCAATTAAAGAAACCGGCTTTCGAATTGTTTGATTCAAGATAAAACAGTTAAGTTTATTGAAATGATTAAGTTAAGACAAGGAAATAGGTTGACAACTCTACGTTGTTGACAAAATCGACTCCTTGTTATGGAAGAATCAGACCCTTCGTCTATAGAAAGGCTGGGAATTAACGAGACAAGAAGGAAGGGTGAGAAACAGGCCTTGTTAGAATCCGACGATGATCCGCCTGCCGAGGACAAGAAGAACAATCAGCCTTCCTATGAGATGCTAGAAAAGTGGCGCAAAGTGACCATAATTGTTTGTCTTCTATCAATTGTGTTCACTCTTATTCTTGGGCTTGGTGCATTTGCCGTTTCCCAGATCTCCGACAGTTCTTCAGCGTTCGCGGTAGCGTTTGACGCCGTGTTGGCCATCACATCCTCGGGATCTGTAGTATGGAGGTTCTACTACGGAATAAACGGCGAGGGAAAAACCGAACGTGAATGGAAGGCTTGCAACATCATCGCCGTGTGTTTTATCGTGTCGGGAGCGTTGGTCATTGGTCGCGCTGCCGTATGTATACTACTGGACCAAGAGCCTCGCAAACCCACCGCACTGCTGATCATGTCTGTTGTCAGTTGTCTGGGGTATTTCTTCCTGTTCTGCGTGAAGTTGTGTTTAGCCCGAAAGCTGGAAAGTTCCGCTCTGGTAGCGGACTCAATAGACGCCCTTAGCGGTGCGGGAATGTCAGTTGGCGTTATTCTAAGTACAATCATCGTGGAACAGAGCGCAAAAGCCTGGCTGTTTGATCCCGGCACAGCTCTCATCATTGCCTTAGCGACACTCATATATGGAATAGAAATCCTGGTTCGAGTTGCACGAGAAAAGAGGAAGGTAAAGAAACTAAGACAAACTGAACAAGAACTGAAACAAGTCGATGACGCGCAGACGGAATCGGACGGACACTGACGGCCTGGTTTGAAACTAAAATTTGAAAAAAATTTAAGCGTTCTCTGGCTAATAACCTTTTAAAAAACTCAAACTTTTGTCTGCCTTAACTGCAGTCTTTAACGGGTGAACACTGTTTATTTGCGTTTAACCCGTTGAAAACTGCTGTTTAGGGAGTCGAAAGCTTGTGTTTTTAAAATACCTTTACTGAGAGAGAGAACATTTTTAAATTTGACTATGATTCAACCTAGCTGCGGTTCCTCAATATTATCATAAAATTCGGAAATAATGCTTTTCCGCACAACACTGGGGACCATTAAAACGTTTTTCCCTAACGTAACCAATAATAGTGGAATTTCAAGGTAATTTGGTGCACCCACGTTGGAATCCGGTGAGCAGGGGCCAATGAAACAGTTTTAAAAATCACTATTTAATGTATAATAATATAACTTATGGGTGTCAAGAAAACAAATATGTTTATTGCGACTAGGATATTTTCAATAGATCAAAAAACAAAATTAATATAAAAACTATGTGGCAGAGAAAATTGGGTAGCATTAGATCTCATTTGAACAAATTGGAAAACAGAATGAGAACTTATGGGCGCCACGAAAACAAATAAATTTGTTATGACTAAGATATTTTTTAATGGATCGAAAAACAATGTTAATATAAACACTATATGGCAGACAAAATTGGACAGCATTAGATCTTATTTGCAAATAAAGCAACCTTATTTTAGGAAATGTCGTATCCCTTATGGTATACTTTAAGCACCGCACCAGGAAACTTGTTTACGACATTCACCTAGAATACCAAGGAGAAGAACAAGCACGGGCGGAATTTCGAGATCAATTTGAGAGCACTTCCTTGCCTAACTCATACCGTTTAACAGCTTCAAAGCACTTTGTAAGTCATATTTTGGTTTCCTTTACGACAGTGGAATCGTTTTAGTAACAGTTGTTGATTGTTATTGACAGGGTGTTAATAATTGCGTTGGTTGATCCGGATATTCTATTAAGCAAGACACATGTGTTAAGACCCATTCCACGGGCACATCTCACACGTTGCTATCCCAAAAGGCGCAGAGAAAACTCCCTTGGCTAGAACATTTACTGCTTACTGTGTCGGGATTTTGGAAAGAAAAAAGTTGTGGATTATTGTGGTGGAAACATCTGAAAGTAGATGAGTTCTGTTGACTAGCCGATGACAATTACGTTTTCTCGTTATTCCTCGTCTGGCAACGTTTTTAATTAGGGATATTATGTTTGTTTGTGAAGACACAGCGGTGGAAAGTTTACTGNGGACGGATTAAATTGAATGAGGAGCAGCTTAACAAACAGGTGCATGTTTAATGAGTTGACTTTGAAATTAATGACTGTTTTTGTGTTCTTTTGTATCGAACAACCAATTTAGCTGATGTTTAAGCTACGAACAGTTCTTCTCCTTCATTAATTCATCATGCAAGCATAAACAAACGCCCCACGAACACTCGGCGGGTATTTCTTCACTCGCTCTTTTTTATCTCTCGTTCTATGAACGAAGAATATTCAGTGAAATTTACTATTCCCAGCAAAAGAACAGAACAACAGTCACCTCGTACTAACCGATTCAGGCCATTCAAGAGACGTGATTGTATTATTCAATCTTCGCTTTGTAGCGAAAATAATGAAGAATTCATCCCCAGTTTACCATAGCAGCGCCAAACACAATGCCGCTAAAGGAACAAAATTGTCCAAGCCGTGTAGTCAAAACTACCAGTTCTCTCACGGAAGTACGGCGTTCTAACAGGCGTGCAAGGTAGAGAGACGTAAGGGAACTTCGCCTAGGCTTCAGCAAATGTAAAGGCACTAAACTTCGACACTGTTATTTCTTTTAATACGTGCGAGAGTTAAATGGACGTTTTACCCATAAAATATGCTACGCTGGGATCTCATTTGAGCATACTTTCGGTAGCAACCTGCTCCTAGGCACCAGAATAAAACGGGACGTTTTTGATCGGAAAAGAGGGCACGCAATCGAAACTCAGAGAATTTCCTTTGCTTGTCCCACTCTAAAAGGGCTAGCAAGCTCTCCCGATTCCTAGTGCAACGACAGAGTTAACGAAAAAATTATTTTACACCTTGTCTTCGCGTCTGACAGGTCATTAGAATAAAAAAGGAAGGTGCATTGTAATTAAATTGGCATATATTAGGACGGAGCTTGAAGGAAGCAGTGCAATTAAAGAAACCGGCTTTCGAATTGTTTGATTCAAGATAAAACAGTTAAGTTTATTGAAATGATTAAGTTAAGACAAGGAAATAGGTTGACAACTCTACGTTGTTGACAAAATCGACTCCTTGTTATGGAAGAATCAGACCCTTCGTCTATAGAAAGGCTGGGAATTAACGAGACAAGAAGGAAGGGTGAGAAACAGGCCTTGTTAGAATCCGACGATGATCCGCCTGCCGAGGACAAGAAGAACAATCAGCCTTCCTATGAGATGCTAGAAAAGTGGCGCAAAGTGACCATAATTGTTTGTCTTCTATCAATTGTGTTCACTCTTATTCTTGGGCTTGGTGCATTTGCCGTTTCCCAGATCTCCGACAGTTCTTCAGCGTTCGCGGTAGCGTTTGACGCCGTGTTGGCCATCACATCCTCGGGATCTGTAGTATGGAGGTTCTACTACGGAATAAACGGCGAGGGAAAAACCGAACGTGAATGGAAGGCTTGCAACATCATCGCCGTGTGTTTTATCGTGTCGGGAGCGTTGGTCATTGGTCGCGCTGCCGTATGTATACTACTGGACCAAGAGCCTCGCAAACCCACCGCACTGCTGATCATGTCTGTTGTCAGTTGTCTGGGGTATTTCTTCCTGTTCTGCGTGAAGTTGTGTTTAGCCCGAAAGCTGGAAAGTTCCGCTCTGGTAGCGGACTCAATAGACGCCCTTAGCGGTGCGGGAATGTCAGTTGGCGTTATTCTAAGTACAATCATCGTGGAACAGAGCGCAAAAGCCTGGCTGTTTGATCCCGGCACAGCTCTCATCATTGCCTTAGCGACACTCATATATGGAATAGAAATCCTGGTTCGAGTTGCACGAGAAAAGAGGAAGGTAAAGAAACTAAGACAAACTGAACAAGAACTGAAACAAGTCGATGACGCGCAGACGGAATCGGACGGACACTGACGGCCTGGTTTGAAACTAAAATTTGAAAAAAATTTAAGCGTTCTCTGGCTAATAACCTTTTAAAAAACTCAAACTTTTGTCTGCCTTAACTGCAGTCTTTAACGGGTGAACACTGTTTATTTGCGTTTAACCCGTTGAAAACTGCTGTTTAGGGAGTCGAAAGCTTGTGTTTTTAAAATACCTTTACTGAGAGAGAGAACATTTTTAAATTTGACTATGATTCAACCTAGCTGCGGTTCCTCAATATTATCATAAAATTCGGAAATAATGCTTTTCCGCACAACACTGGGGACCATTAAAACGTTTTTCCCTAACGTAACCAATAATAGTGGAATTTCAAGGTAATTTGGTGCACCCACGTTGGAATCCGGTGAGCAGGGGCCAATGAAACAGTTTTAAAAATCACTATTTAATGTATAATAATATAACTTATGGGTGTCAAGAAAACAAATATGTTTATTGCGACTAGGATATTTTCAATAGATCAAAAAACAAAATTAATATAAAAACTATGTGGCAGAGAAAATTGGGTAGCATTAGATCTCATTTGAACAAATTGGAAAACAGAATGAGAACTTATGGGCGCCACGAAAACAAATAAATTTGTTATGACTAAGATATTTTTTAATGGATCGAAAAACAATGTTAATATAAACACTATATGGCAGACAAAATTGGACAGCATTAGATCTTATTTGCAAATAAAGCAACCTTATTTTAGGAAATGTCGTATCCCTTATGGTATACTTTAAGCACCGCACCAGGAAACTTGTTTACGACATTCACCTAGAATACCAAGGAGAAGAACAAGCACGGGCGGAATTTCGAGATCAATTTGAGAGCACTTCCTTGCCTAACTCATACCGTTTAACAGCTTCAAAGCACTTTGTAAGTCATATTTTGGTTTCCTTTACGACAGTGGAATCGTTTTAGTAACAGTTGTTGATTGTTATTGACAGGGTGTTAATAATTGCGTTGGTTGATCCGGATATTCTATTAAGCAAGACACATGTGTTAAGACCCATTCCACGGGCACATCTCACACGTTGCTATCCCAAAAGGCGCAGAGAAAACTCCCTTGGCTAGAACATTTACTGCTTACTGTGTCGGGATTTTGGAAAGAAAAAAGTTGTGGATTATTGTGGTGGAAACATCTGAAAGTAGATGAGTTCTGTTGACTAGCCGATGACAATTACGTTTTCTCGTTATTCCTCGTCTGGCAACGTTTTTAATTAGGGATATTATGTTTGTTTGTGAAGACACAGCGGTGGAAAGTTTACTGCAGGCGTAAGAGTGCAAGTACTGTACTTCTGTTGTGTTACCCCCGGTCACCGTACTGCAGGTGTTTGCGATGCGATAGACCGGCGCCCCATTCCATGAAAATAGTAGCAGCAAACTGTTGTTAATGGTTGACATGGCTACCTCTGATGAGCCTTGCCTTTTCTATGATTATTTTATCAGGCCAGAGAAAATGTTTTCTCTTCCTACTGGTTGTTGAATTACTTATTGGGAAACTGAGGACAGAATCCCGACAATTATTCAAAATTATCTGAAACACATTCAGGGGTGAGAGGAGATCCTCGACTCACTGAAATCTTTGTTTAACAACACATTTCGCAGTAGCCCGACATTAATTTAATTGCCTTCAAGAACACTGAATATTCATGAATGACACTGTAAGCATTCACACAGGCGGTCTACAACAGTGCTTATTTTATTTGCTGTTTTGTGATTGAAATTAACAAAATTCGTGAAAGAAAAATAGGTTTGGAAGCAATAAAAAATAGAGAAATTTAATTTAATTTTCTATTTATCCATATATACAAATACAATTCTATTACAATTATATATTTTTACCGTGTAGAAAATAAACACGCTGTTTCATTTATTTGTCTTTCTTGAACGAACTCGATTCTGTAAAATAGAATGACAATAGTAACCACACAATTAGTGTCTCCTGACGCTGTTTATACAAAATCAAGACGAAATTTTTAAGACTTTTAAGGACGTTCGCCCGAAAATTTTCCAATCGATAGCTTTTTTTAAATTTTCACTGCAGTCAGATAATGAGTTACTTGTGTCAGAAATGCAAAACAAGAAAAAAAAAATGGGGTTCACCGACTTCGTTTCAGAGATAAAGCGTGTGGAAAACTACCCTGATTTTGAAAAATTGGCGTACTTAATTCAGCATAGTCTACAGGGGTTTACAGTTAAAAATATCCAAGGTGAGTCTGTGGAGGCAAACAATCTTAGTCATATTTTGTAGAAGTGAGTCTGCTGGGAAAATAATTCCAAACGTTACTAACGTTTTCACAAAACTTAACCCTTCAAGAGGCATTTGAAACCGTCGCACAGATAAACAAAGAGCTAAATAGAACGGAATTCGATGGTGCATTTTGCAAAAAATTCAAACTTCTAGTCGATAGAATTCTTCATTTTTTCGCTAAACGTAGAAAGTCGGCAGAGAAAATGATCCATCAACAGAAAAATAGCACTCACGGACCGTCCAAGATGGTTAAATCCAGGCAAAGCTATAGCAATGGCCATCTGCCCTATCATTGTTC